GGAAAACCAACACAGCCCACAACCACAGCTGGATGGGGCAAACCCCCAAAACTAGCAGCCGGCTGGGCCCACAGCACCACAAGAACCCCAGTTCACTAGATAAGGATGAAAACATGGGGGAAAAAAGTGTTTCTCATTCAGTTGACTTCATGAGGAGAAAGTGTCTGAAGTTACATTGCCGAATGTCCCAGAGATGGTGGTGTCATCCTCTGAATTAGCAAAGAAGTGATACCGTTAAATAAAATTAACATCAATGTTCATTGTCCAGGGAAATGAGCAGGGTTAATTCTCAGTTAATAACACTAGGGAGATACTAAGAAATAATGCTCTGAGAATGCAGGGGGTTTTTGGCTTTGTTCATATCCTTGTTCAGACAAGTTCCTACTTGTAGTCTGACAGGCAAAAGGTTTTTTTTTTCCCAGAAAATAATGCTAATTTAAGATACAGAATTTTGATGCAAATACAATTTAAATACAGCCTTGGCAGTTTGCTTTAAAATCTGAGAGACACATATACTAGTCAGTTACTGTTAAGCAGTGAATTGTTGGTGTAAATCACTCCCATCAGAACAAAATGTAACATATCTTTGTGTACGGTTTGTATGAGGAACTCTTGTTATATGATACTTTTCTCTGTTCTTTTTCTTTCTTTCTTTTTCCCAAATGACTTGGTATAATTACTACAGTAAAATGGAAGTGGGATCTGGGAAAAAAAAAAAAACACAAATTGTAGCATTGCGGTGATAAGCGATGTGCAGTTTGTCTCAAAGATACAGAAAGGAGTTGACTGGCAGGATCCTTAAAAGGATGCCCAGAACATGGCTGCAATGGACACAAACCTCGGTAGCTTGGGCAGCTGCATGGTGGCTGAGGAGAGGTGTTTGAAGGGGGAAGCTGAGTTTGACATCCCATGGGATGTGGATACCTCACCTGCACCCACAGAGCTGCCCAGGGGGGTGCGTTGTGCTGCTTCCATGCCAGGGCATCTCTGGAACTACATCGGGATCCCTCAAGTAGTTTTCCTGAGGGAAACCTGAAGTCTTGCCAGTGCTGACAGCTTCAACCAGAACAGATTTATTTATTTACTGTATTGTTGGAAAAAAGTAATTTTCATGGCATTCCTCTGCCACGTCTGCGCTTTTGGTGTCGACACCATCCACATGAGATAATTTGGGGTCCTTCCTTGCAAGGCCGTCACAGCTCTTGCTATAGAAGGCCTGATATTCCCTGCTGCAGAGGCAGATGGGGCTTTGGGGGCAGGCTGAGCTCAGTTTGTGGACTGCTTTCAAGGTTGCTGTGGGTCCATGTTCCCAGCTTCAGAAGTGTCCCGGAGTTCATGAAGCTACAGGGAGCCGTTTGGCCAGTGTGACGTTGGATGTACCGAGTTTCCACCACCCAGGAGCACTTCAGGATGCCAGGACACGTCCCCTGAAGAGAAACAGAGCGCGGCCACTGCTGGGTGATCCGTCCTTGGGTTGGATTGTGGCAAGGAGCCGTGATGCTGAGCCCGGCAGCACTGGGTCCGTCTGGAATCTGCCTCTGGCTCCCAGGGGAAGCCTCAGAGTTCATCACCATGTGTAGGATTTCCTTCATCTGCCCTGTGGGTGGAGCCGGCAATGTGTAGATGCCCTCTAGCCCCATGTGCAAGGGGACACAAGGACACTCTTGTCCCCCTTTCCTGGGAGTGGATCCCATCTGCCTCCCTTCCCTCAGCCCTAAGATACAAGATGCTGCCTTTGGCCATGAGGATGTCCCGTACACATCCACTCCACCACCAGTCCAGCGAGCGTAGCAGAACCCGTGGGTTGCCTCTTGCACGCAGAAGACTTCTGTGGGTAGTTATTTACAAAATAAACTGCTCGTGCTGTTTATGCTTATGCTTTGGCATTCACCATCGCACAAACGGAGGGGCTCAGGCAGGATCTGCTTCCTGACAAAAGTCAGGATAGGTTGTTTCGGAGGAAGTTACAGGAAATCGTCACAGGCAATTACAGGGGTTTTTGAAGAGTAGATTTTCCTAGCCTTGTCAGTCATTAGTTGCTTTATGTGCTTTGAAAATTGTTTTGTCTTTTTTTTTTTTTTAAGCAGAGGAATTTCCCGTTATCTGCCTAAAGGAATTTTTGCTTTTATTATTTGTATTGCAAGAGAACAGCAAGGCTCCAGGGACCAGACGAATTGGGATCCCTTTGTTTTAAGTTGATTTGTGTATGAATAGAGCCAGAGACTCACTGTCCCAAAGATGTTCTTGTTTCAAGGGGGAAAAATGTCAGGCCAAGGAACAAGTCTGAATCAGCTGAATAGATGGGATCTACTGGAACATGCTGTCTTGAAGCATGTCTGGGATAATAGTCATTTAGGCTGCTACATTTTTTAATGTTAGTTTTTCTGTTTTCCTTTTGCAGTAGAACTCCACTTGGTGATGAAATTTGATTCTGACTCAAAAACGGAAGGAGTCGCAATAAAAATATTTAACATAGTTAATTATCAAAGTCCCAGAGTGAATTCACAGGTTGTTTGTTTGCTAGCCTATTTAGAATAGAGGGCTTGGAATATTTCTGTTTTTTTTTTTTTTTTTTTGAGACAATTAGTAAATACTACAAGCTAGAGAATGAATTTTGAGGTGTTCAGATACAGTAAAAGAAATAAAAATATTACTTGTTACATCTATGTAGAGAAGAACTATTTTGGTCAAGTGAAGTCTGAAGTAGCTTAGTAAGTGCTTTTTTTGGCCCAGTTGGTTTAAATGCTACAAGGTAGAATCAGAATTTCTTTCTAATGGTAAGCTCCTAGAGAATATTCCTGCAGTTCTGTGCCATGGAAGTATTTCCCTGAGCAGCTGAAAGGTTTGCTTTGTATCATTGTTGAGTTATAGGCATTTCTTCCTTACTCTCCCTATTGAAAATCACTTGAAAAAAACATTTTTAATAAGTAGTTATTAATGATCTCCTGTCAAAAAGGAAAGACATATCAGATCTACTTCTCCATGGATCTGTCTTTGGCCTTGTATTATTCAAAAATCCTATTAACAACTTTGATGTTTGAAGTAGGGAGTGAAGATGTAAAAATAGCAGATGGCAACAGTCTAGAATAAATTACTTTAGACCAACTTTGAAAGAGTTGGTCTAAAGCATAAAATCAATTTGAAAAGGTGGGAAAAATGTTCATTAAAAAAAAAAAGAAAGAAATGGTAAGAATGTCACATAAAGCCTAATAGACTAATCCAGAATATGGACTAGCTGGAGCCATTATGACTGGCAACAGGCAGCCATACAGATGCGAGGTTGTGTGCTGATGGGCAAAGTCATTAGCTCGATAAAAGGCAGAAAGTCCCACTCGCGTTGAGCACCTGCCCTTTCCAGCACTACCAGGGTAAGGCAGCACCTTGTGGAAGGGAGGGTGGGCAGGATTGCAGAGGCTGCTGCACAGAGCAAGGGAGCGCTCAGGCTTGCTTTTGTGAGGCTGAATTACAGCAAGGAGACGAAGGAAAGACTGCTTAGTCTACAAGAAGATAATTAAGTATTGGTATGGGAAAAAAAGATAAATAAGTAGAGTATTGTCTTCAAGCGTGCCGAAATCTTTTAGGAAGACGGTGGTAACTGTTTTCTTTTTGTGTACATTGGAGGGGTCACAAGAGAGTAACAATGTGGATTAAGGTTAAATGTTAGAAAAAAGTATCTTCTGTCACTGTAAATAGTAGTTACATACTGGAGGAGATGAAGACATTTTTGCTGCAGAGTAGTGTAGAGAAACTTCTGAGATGGGTGATATTGTGCAGGTTAATCCTGTTGCCTGAACATTGTTCTAGTAGTCTGTATTGTATTTTAGTAGTCTGGATTCATAGACTTACATGTCTGTGATTTGTATCATGATTTCACCTTTAAACCATGAACAGACACGAACAGCAGGAAAAGAAATCCTGTGGCTTTCAGAACCAAACTGCATGATCAGTGTGTGTCAGCAAGGAGCGTGTAGGTGTTCTTTAGTCACATCTGTAACTAAAAATATGTTCTTTTGTCTTCCCAACAGTCTCCAAACGTCCACAACTACCCAGATATGGAAGCTGTACCCTTGTTGCTAAATAACATGAAGGCAGACCCTCCAGAGGATTCGTTGTCTACAGACCATTTCCAAACACAGACTGAACCAGTGGACTTGTCAATAAACAAAGCCAGGTCATCCCCTACAGCAGCTTCATCTTCGCCAGTCTCCATAACAGCATCAGCCTCCTCCCCTTCTTCTACTTCTTCTTCTAGTCGGCCAGCTTCATCCCCCACAGTGATAACATCTGTATCTTCAGCAGCATCTGTACCATCAGTATTAACTCCAGGTCCCCTTGTGGCCTCTGCATCTGGTGTTGGAGGCCAGCAGTTTTTGCACATTATCCACCCTGTACCTCCCTCAAGCCCCATGAACTTGCAGTCCAACAAAATGAGTCACGTGCACCGTATACCGGTGGTCGTACAGTCGGTACCTGTTGTCTACACAGCTGTGAGGTCACCTGGGAATATGAACAACACTATAGTAGTACCACTGTTGGAGGATGGGAGGAGCCACGTCAAAGGTAAGGTGGAAGTGGTTTTATATATCTTGAGCGTCTCCAAAACCATGCTGTATGAAGCAAGTGCAATTTGCTTGTACTGCTGTTAATTTACAAACTCGTTATTTCATTTGCTGCAAATACATCTGATTTTCATTGTTGTGGGTAACCTTTAAAAATCTTGTCCCAGATACTCTTTAAAAGGAAAAAAACCCAAAGATTTCAGGATGCTCAGAGCACTAAGGGCAAATCTTGTCCTGAGATGAAGAGTTCCTCTCCAGAAGCTGAAAAAATAGGAGAACAGAATAATGGTATATATTAAGGTTCATAGGTGAACATGGAAATCTCACAAGGCGGTGCAGATTTCAAAAGAAGAGACAGAGTAAGGGAAGAAGGAGTCAGAGAACTGGATTCCACACAAGAGTAAATACTCGCCGGGCTGTAGGAACATGGGAAGAAAAGGCTTTCTGAACCACGATGGGTAGCAGCTGTGCAGAGTTAGGTTTCCTTACACTCAAGGAGTGGCCGTGAGATGTTTTGAATTAGGTTTCTTCTTCGAGGTTAGGCAGTAGAAGGGAAGGAAGCCACACTGAGTGTGTGTGGAGGAAATGAGTTCTGCAGTCACAGGAACCTGGGAGGCCGCGGAGGTGTGACGGGAGACAGAGAGTACGTGCCAGAAGGGCAGATAGGCTCTTGGGGAGGTGTCCAAGGAACACAAAAAATGGGTGGATAGCAAGAAAAAGTGAAAAAAAATATTAACTATGCTAGCTACCAACAGAGCAAAATATGGTTAGGGATGGTGACGTGATGGGTGGAGGATGAAAAGAGAAAACAGCTGTGCCCAGATACTTTGAAAAATGCTCCTTTAAAAAGGAGACATTAGCGAAAGTAGCGGGGACATGGGAATGACAGAGACTCACTGCAGGGTTCTTGGTGTATGGATGAATAAATAACAGCTATTCCTCTGGCAAAGTGAGATAGTGCTGCTGGGAAGGGAGGCTAGTGACAGATAACCTCCCTTTTGGGCCTTATGAGACTAAAAGGTATCCAAACATCTCTTGGGTGCCTAATTGCGTTACGAATAGATCTCTACAGTTAAAAGACTTTTGTTTTTCCTTCAACTCTCATGTCTGATTTTGGTGTATGGTGACTGTATTTAGCTACAGGGATGAGTCATTCTGGTGTTTAATCGTATCGTGCTGTCCATAAATCCTTGGTTGCCCCCTCCCATTCCCTGGGTACCCCAGCCTGCGTATGGAGTGTGTCCTCCTGACAGGGCTAGACCGCAGGAAACTAACCACAGCGGGTCTGGCTTTTGCTTTCGGCCTGGGAGTGACGGTTTAAGGCATTTTATTGCATTTCATACAGTGACATAATTGTAGGACCTTATGCCATTGCATTAAAAATCACCAATGAAAGCAGTGTGGTGCACCATGTTGTTGGAGAGGGAGCAGGGAGAAAGTTAGAGGTCTGCCCCTTAGAAATAGGGGTCTCTATTTTGATTTTGGGGCTTTCAGCTGCACCTAACTTTGAGCTCATCAGGTTTTTTTCCTGCTCGTTTTCTTTTCAAAGGTGCTAGCTGGCTTTGGTAATAGTCTCCTCTATGGGAAATACCTCCTGAGCTTGCAAAACTGGAAATTCACTGCCCTGGTTTCATCAACAAAATTCCAGAATTTAATGTGCTGCGGGGATTTCAGCCCGTGAGCTCCAGACTTCCCGAGCTGCCCTGACAATCTCTCCTTTGTGCTATTATTGGCAGAGATCATTAACCAGCTCTGCTGCACCTATTAACGTACAGCAACAGAAAAAGAAAGGATTAAGCTTTCTTTAATTTTTTTCTCTAATCAGTTGTACCCATTTTGCTATCACTAATTCTTTTGATACAAATGTTCAGGTTAATTTGAATAAATATAATAGAAGAATAACAGGCAAAAATTCCTTCTAGGTACTCACTCATCTTTTGTTAGCTTTTTACTGGCGTGTATTTTTCTTTTTTTAATATAAAACAATATAAATAATAAAATACAGGCATGTCGCATAAATTAACTGGTTAAAGGCATTTCATACATGCACAAACTAACTTCCATTCAGTGACCAGCTAAAAAGCTGAAAACAAGAAATCAATTTCCTGGGATGGTAACAGGACACTGCTGTCAGATTGCACTGGTTGCTAATCCTCTGGACAGCTGAAGGAGAAATGCAGATCCAGAATTATCTGAAGTCCTTACTTTCAGCTCCTCTGTGAATGTTGATCATTCTCAGAAAGCAGAATGTAAGTATGCTGAGATAGATACAGTCAATCCACAGCATCAGCAATGTTTGTCCCGTAATCCTTGTTTTTTTTTCTGCTTTGGGTTTAAGTCAAACACCACATCAATGACATAGAGGGGTGGTTGGGAAGCATTTAAGCTTACCTAAGGTAAGTCTCTATCTAAATTGAATGAAATGTAGGTCTTTTCCCAAACAGAGATATATTCACTGCTAAAATTAGCCAAACTAGGTTAGACCAAAGTTCAGGACTATTTTTTGGTACTTCTAGTAGCAAATACTTACAGAAGAGTGCAAGAAATGGGAGATATATAGAGAGATTTTCCCCCTCTATTCCCTCCCCTTTCTCAGTTTTATCTTCCTCATACTAAATTTTCTCCTTTCTTCCAGGCTTGAGTACAAACATTTCATTTTTAATTTTACTGCAGAAACTTCTTCACAGGCCGCCTCCATCTCCCTCCATCTTCCTGTCTCTTTAGAGGAGCCCAGTCCATCCCAAGAACTATACAAACCATATTCCTCAGCAAAATTGCTTTCCTAATTGCTGCTTTCTAGAGAGTTTGAGCAAGTATCTTTTTTTCATCATCTGTTTGAATTCTGTCTTACACTTCAGCACAAAAAAAAATCCTTATCTCTTCCTGTGTTTCCCACATCTTTCCTTTTTCTCTACTTTTCTGCATCTGCTTTTCAACCTCCAAATGTGTTGCTCGTTTCTGCTCTCTGTCCTTCTCTCTCATATATTTTACTTGGAAGTTTTCCCATTAAATCAAACTGAAAACCAGACGGGTTTGCAAAGAATTAGCCTCTGTATCCATGAGCTCTGGCAATATACCACTGGATCCTGTGCTACACGCTGCCCACCGTGCCGAGAGGGGCATCTGGAACCCTTGGTCATGCCATAAAAGCACCATTTTGTTAGTGTGAGGCTTATGGCAAGGCAAAAGCCTCTCCAAACACTTGGACTAGACCAAAGCCAGGATCAAAGCAGTACAGGAATTTATTAACAACACATAATGACCTGGTAATCATTAAACTAAGCATTCCGGATACAGCACTGCCCATTCACAGATTGTTACCAAACACCTACAAATTTCTAAACACTTTTCTGTAACTGGTCCCAAGAGGTTATGCTCCCAGTTACCTGCACCGCCCACCCATCTGGCACCGTGTAGGGCCCTGCCAGGTGCCCCTCCATCCGCTGCTCCCAACGCCCCTGCATCCCAGAGCATTAAAATCCCATGAAAAACTGTTTCTCCTCATTTTTTGTCCCCATTCAGTAATGGTGTATACTGCTAAAAGATATAATTACAGGCACTGCATGTAGCAACACCTGTAGGTAAGGTTGCTTGACAGTTTCTATTAAAACCTTGTTTTCAGTTGCTCGAAGTTGGTCTATATGCTAACTATTTAAGCAAACTTTTTCCATGTCACATGACTGCCTCAGGTTCATCTTTTTTTCTTTTTATTTGCGAGGAAAGTTTTGAGGAAAACTATTCTGTTCTTCCTCAGACTGAGAATAGAGAAAAAGGTAGCATTTTCCATGATGAGAAATTCATTCCATTCATTTTTTGGTGCCGAACTCCAGAACCTCTGTGCTTTGATGCCATGAACCCTCAAGTTGTGTTTTGGGTTTTTTTTTTTTTTTTTTTTTTTTTAACCTTCCTAAGCATTTGCAGAAACTTGGTCAACGTCGGAGGTCTGCATAAAATCTGAATCCCCTTAAGGGGAGGGAAGTAAAGGGTAAAACATGAAAATCCTACATGGGGAAAGGCGATGAGAAGCTTGCACAGGAGGTGGGAATGGGCTGGGCAGTGGGGAGAGCAGCAAGGATAAACACGGGATGAAGGGGAAGGAGAACAAGGGCAGGAGTTGTGAGAAGCCTTTGTGGATGGGAACGCGTTCAGGAGGAAAGGCAGGAAAGGAGGGGAGGCAGGAATGGTGAAAAACAAGAGTGACAAGAGGATTATAGGAAAGAGGTTGAGACAGAATTTTTTAGGTAATGGAGCAAGGAGACTCCTACAGACAAAAGCAAAAAGACCTGGCATGGAAGGAACAAGTTCCCATGTTAGCTCTGGTGCTGTTACCCTGAGTTTTTCCCTTGCTTTGCTTTCAGATGATATCCATGAATCCATGCAAATCATGTCCCTCTAGTGGCAGATTTCGAAAGAGGTGATGTCCCCGGTAGCTGTTCTCCCTAGCTCGGAGCTGCTGTCAGACCAAGGGCGTTTCAGAAACTCCACCCTGGTGACGGCACACCACCGACTTGTGCAACTCGCTCTTTCTGGTTTCTTGGGGAGGTTGGCTTTCTTTTCACTACTACATATTTTTAAGTGTTCTTTTTTTTAAGTGTTCAGAAAATAAAAACAGTTGCAAATCAAGAAATCAGAGCATTAAAGATTTATATTTGCCAGCTGGACTTCAGTTTGCTGCCCAGGAACATAAACCTTGCAATGCTATCTGTAATATTGTCAGGGACTATTTTCATGGTACCCTGCTTGCATATTTACCCAGCAGAAATGCCTGGATTGCATCTTTTTACAGTTTGTGCATTCCATATTCCTAATTGTGGATATATATTAATGAGCTGTAAATGCAGTACTCATTGCTACAGATATTTTGGGGATTTAAAACAGGTTTTACTAGTAGATGAAGTTACTCACTGCTGTACTTTTAAAACATAGATTTTATTTCTGCCTACTGTAATGCCTGTTTATTCCATAGAAGTAAATGTAATTTGTAGTACAAAGCTAGAAATT